GATTTAGCTACTAAACATATTCTCAATACTCAAAATAAACAAATCCATGAGTTCAATAATGAAGAAAAAAAGAAAAGAAAGAAGAACTATTGTTGCCGTTAGTTCCCGGATCTTCAATCTTGACCTCCTTGAATCCCTCGTGTGTTTCGTGCTTTTTCTAGGCCTCCAATGGTGTCAAAAGTGCCAAAACCGTGTTCCTTTTGTTCCTTATATACTGTAGGGCAAATATGGGTGGAAAAAGGGATCAAATCGCGCAGGTTTCCTATTTTCCGCTGGTTTAACTGCGCGTCACACGACTCGTGTCATAAGCCACACGAGTCGTGTGACTTGTCTTCAATTTTCGGCAAAGTTCCAGGTTCACACGAGCACACCACACGAGACGTCACATGAGTCGTGTAAGCCCACATGACTCGTGTCATGGGCCACACGACTCGTGTGACAAAGCCGCACCAAAATAACAAAAGAGGTTGATTTTTCTCACCCCACACGACTCGTGTCACTCTCCACACGAGTCGTGTGACCTGTCTGCACCTTATTTTCGTCGTTTTTCGTCCCGATTCCATCTTTAACGCTTTTTCGAGCATATTTCCTGCAAAACTAACGACAAATATACCTCCATCATAGATTAATAAATCAAACAAAATGGTGCATAATCCCACGATAAACACGGTTAAACATCACACTATATCACTCATAATGCATGAAAATATGATGAATATCAACTCCCCCAAACTTAAACCCTTGCTCGTCCCCGAACAAGAACAAGAAAATCAAAACTCAAGCATAATGAGTGATATCAACTAGAACGGCTTCAAGTACTTCAATGCAACCAAGAAAAATTCAAGTGATCATAACTATCATGCTTTCGACTACTTACTTGTGTCTACCTTGAATCAGCGAACCCTCAAATAGGAATAATATAAGTGCCTCACTCACATGTCATCAATATGGAAAGATACGCTCAAGTCAAATCAAACACCCGGTTAACTATATGTTTGCCAATCATCTAACACCCTACTTCAAACACAACTAGTAACTATGAGCTTTAAATCAAAAGGTCTTCTCGGATTGTAACGTAGGCTATTTGGTCAAAGGTAGGATATATATGGGTAAAGTGGCTCAAATAAACAAACATACCATTCGAGTAAACAGACTACTCGACTACTCCGCTACTCATCCCTAATCAACATCAGTGTTTCTCATCCCCAAACCAAAATAATCCATACACAACTCATAAATGCTCAAATCGAACCACAAAGAGAGTACTTGACCGTTTTTTTTCTTTTCTTCTTTTTT